ACGAACTGTCATATTAGAAATTATAGCAGGAATTACGGACACTAAGTCTGGACAAAACTAAGAGAAAACCCTTTGAAGTGAAAGAAAACGTAAGTTATGGCAACCATAAAGATAAAGCAAAATGACGTCAAAATAGCCACCAAGAAAAGTTAACTCTTTCCTGGATAGGTATGTTTAGTGGGACAAGACTGCCCTCTATAGACCAAATACTAAATTGCTATCTGGAAGGTAACCACACCTCCAGTGTTCCTATTGGTCTATCAACTAGTGAATTTTCCCTTTAAAAAGTTAAGACAAGGGGAAGGGAGGAAGAAGAGAAAGGGAGGCGAGGAATACAAGGGTATACAAAGGAAGCAAAGAAATGAACAGTCGGGAGCAATGCAGAGAGGCCTATGACAGATATACACTCTAGGACACTCAGAAATTCCTACACACCTCCATGCAGAGAGACATCCAAATAAGTTCCTGAGACTATCTACCAATCGGATGAAATATCTACTCAACTGGTAATTATACTGGTTTCATTTAATTAATTAAATTAATTAAAATTTACTAATAGCATGATATATGACTGGATAAATCCCGGTCAGATTTCAATATTTAGAAATCTTAGTTAACTAAAGAATATATAGTTATAAACATTCCATTCTGCAGGTGGAATTAAGAATAATTATATATTAATGTGATAGTATCACTTGTTAGCATACCGCTGTTTTTATCCAGGTGTATTGATTTGCTCTAATGTAAGATAAGATATCTTTTTAGGCGAATTAAAATTCTGCTTTTGTAAAAATCTGGTAGATTATTCTTATTGGATGGTTCTAGGAAATGACTAATGAAGTGGTTTAAATGTTATTTTATTTAAAATTACATAAGAATAGATCTTAATTACCTAGGAGGATCTAGCCAGCATTGAAAGGGTTATTCAGTTGATCTAACTGTTAGCCAGGGTTTTATGGCCCTTCGCTGTGAAAAGCTTTGCTTTCTGTGTCTGTAAGGATACCTCATAAATCGTGTAAGTCTTGACAGAAAATGCTGTTTAGCCATTGAAACGTGTATACCCATTC